AACGTCGAATAATACACTGGAGAATGAAATTATTCGAATATCACTCGAGGGAAGCCGTAGGAGCCAGGGTTGAAAGGGAGGCAACATGGAATATGTATCGAGCGTTTCCAACGTATTTCACGAAAGGAATAGCAAAACGAACGGTACAGCCACGTGTAAACCTCTCATTGGTATTTGGCCGCAAAGCGGTTCCAGTCGCTTAAAGTAGATCAAAAATTCTCCCGTTGCGGTCGTAAATATCGGGAAAAATAATTCACTAACATCGAGCCAACTGATCGACGGGTTTTTCACCTGAATACCGACGCGAATAAATCACCGTTTTCGCGTTTCGCTCGGCGCGTATATTCGTATAACATAATACCAACGGAAATACGAGAGGGAAAGAGTATTTTCAAAGAACCCGGTTCGCGATTGATCAACGGCCCGTGTTTAAACGAGGTGAACACCTTTTCACTTATCCGTATTTTCATCCACCACTCTATCTAGTCACATAAAAACTCAGAGAACACTAGATTTCACATTTCTGTTGCCGCGGATAGATAAAAATAATTTGAATGAAAGATAAAACGAAGAGGTGTCTTTCTGCGATAGTTTGTCAGACAATGTTCCGCATTTCAGAAGCACATGCATCTAACCGAGTCCGCGTATAGAAACCGCAGTTACCGGTTTCTCAACAGGGGTGTCGTAGTGCACGCGATCGCGTAATGGTGGGTGTCGTGTGCCGCAGCTGCGAAACAGAGGCTATGGGGAAGAGGAGGAGCAGATTCGGTTGTTTGCAAACTACACGCCAACGCGTTCGCCGCATCTGTACAATCTGCATCGTCCTCCTCGTAGCCCCGCTTCGTACTTGAAAACCCTCAACCTGCCGGATCGTGCCAGTCTGCGGAAAAACAACCGGAAAATGGGTTGAATGGCAAAGGGAAATGGAGGAACGTATTTTCGAGATAGGGGATTTTCTGGTTGGGGGATCCGTCTTACTCGGGAATGGAGATGAAATAAATGATTCCATTGGGACAGCAGAGGATTAATGATAAGTCCGTTAATGATAAGGGAGGACTCGAGAAATTTTATGATCGATTTGATGGTGGAATTGATGGTCTTAGCGATGAAGGGACGGTTGATTATTTAGGGGGAAATTGCCGGAAAAGAATTAACACGTTCGAACGCGTGAAACTACGAAACATCGCCATATTTCATCTTGGAACTCCCACAGCAAACTCCAAGAAGATTTCCGGTTATTTAAATGCAGTTTCATTCGAAACTTAGAAATGAATTTACATTTACTATCTTGGCGAAGACTTGACCGTGTTTCCTTCATATTTAAATGCGGCGAATATTTGACCCGAAGGGAATTCGAGCGTCAATTATTTCTCGGAAGTTTCTCATTTTCCCGGGCGAAAATTGTCGAAGAAAACAACGGCCACGGTGTTCGATTGCGGATGAAATTATCTCTCCTTAGACGGGACCAATGCAAACGTAATAAAGTCGCGAGTCCTGAGGAAGTTCGGCCCGTGGATGCTTAAGGGAGTTTGCTTACGTGCGGCGAGTGTAGAGGATGGAAAACGGTTGGGATGTGTACTACAAGTAAATTATGGCGGTCGACTGTTGTTTTAGTCCTGCGGTTGATCCTGCTTCTGTGTACAGGCGAACGGGGAACTGGCAGCCTCTTAATCGATGTTGAAACGTGTTTGAGCGTCGAAGATAAGCGATGGTCACGTAAAATGTAATCTTCTATGATTTAACATTCCCGGACGTTGATTAAGCAATTAAATTCATACATTACGCTAATGTACATCTGTAGATTTTAGTAGCGTACATGTTTAGCTTTTAATAAACGAAACCCCAGAAAAAAGGTAATTGTCAATAACAGAAAAGCCTCAACAAAAGCTGCAGTTGAGCGGAAAGCAAAGGCCATTCACCGCGTTACCGTGGTTTCGCCCCGACGTCCCTTCGCAAGTCCTTAAATTAATTACACGACGGCCGTGTACGAAAACAAAGTTATCCGAGGACACGGAGAAGCCACGTTTTCGACGAGGGATTGTCGTTCCTTGGCGGAGGCTGGTAACGAACCTCGATGGCCCGGAGGCGTTCATTCGTCCAAGATAAGAAAGACAAAGGAAAAGAAAAAAAAATTAATCACGGGCCTTGGCCAGGCTCCTGGCTTCTCTTCCGGTCCATTTTCACGGCCCATTTTTCTCCCATCGTGCCAGCGAGGATCGAGAAACGAACCGGGAATGCGGGCTATCGTTTTCACCGTGATTTTTCACCACCTTCTGAGAAATGGAAACCGTGGGCGTGTTACTCCCCGTGTCTGTTCCGCTTTTATCCGTGTTCCTGTCTCAACCATCGATACCAAACGCCGGTGAATCGCTCCTGAACTGTCGGTGATCTGTTTCGAGACTCGTTGTCGATCGAACGTGTTCTCCTCGAGCGCGTGGAATTTACGAAATACAAAAACTAGCGGTATTTTAATGCAACAAGCAGGAATTTTATCTCCTTTCTTACCGGTGATCCTCCCGTGACCTCGTTTCGCTGCATTTTTATTGTGCAGCAGTAAACTTGCGAAGCGTGGTCTATTTTAGAGGTATAAGAGCATTTCCATGGTACATTTGTAAGATACGCATAGTAACTCGATACGTTGGTCTTCCACGCGTGGCAACTCGATACGTTGGATTACTACGTGTTGTAATTCGATACGTTAGTGTGCTACGCGGTGGATTATCACGTCTTGTAACTCGATACGTTGGTTTTCCACGCGTGGCAACTCGATACGTTGGTTTCACGTGTGGCAACTCGATACGCTTGTCTTCCACGCGTGGCAACTCGATACTTTAGATTACCACGTGTTGTAATTCGATACGTTGGTCCTCCACGCATAGTAACTCGATACGTTGGTCTTCCACGTGTTGTAATTCGATACGTTGGTATGCTACGCGGTGGATTGCAACGTCTTGTAATTCAATACGTTGGTTTTCCACGCCTAGTAACTCGATACGTTGTTCTTCCACGCGTGGCAACTCGATACGTTGGTCCTCCACGCATTGTAACTCGATACGTTGGTCCTCCACGCATAGTAACTCGATACGTTGGTCCTCCACGCGTAGTAACTCGATACGTTGGTCCTCAGTAACTCGATATGTTGGACAGCCACGTGTTGTAATTCGATACGTTAGTGTGCTACGCGGTGGATTATCACGTCTTGTAACTCGATACGTTGGTTTTCCACGCGTGGCAACTCGATACGTTGGTCCTGCACGCATAGTAACTCGATACGTTGGTCTTCCACGCGTGGCAACTCTCTACGTTGGTTCTCCACGCATAGTGACTCGATACGTTGCTCTTCCACGCGTAGTAACTCGACGCGTTGCCTTTAGCGAAATATCGATAGTAGATTTCTCTGGAGTTTTGAATATTTCAAAAGTACCACGAATATTTCAAAAGTACAAGAGTCAAAAGTGACCAGTTGGTTTCGATGATTTCATGCAGAACTCCCTAATGAACCCCAGTTGAAAGAAATGCATACGATTTTTCATGACAGGAGCACTTATTAATAACCAGCAATTAACGAGGCAGATTTCATAGACAAATTAATATAGTCGAATCGACCCAGTTTGATAGAAGGGCTACTAAACTCATTAACATCTGGTATTTATTCTTCCTGGTCGGCAGCCAAAGTGACCTACTTCAAAGATAAACAGGAAAACTGCAGCAAGCATTTAATGCATCAGCGGCAGTATTTATTTTGTTCAATCAATATTCCAGCTAGTAGTGAACGTAACCTGATTCCAAGGTAAACAAGAAATACGTTATATAATTGTAGCGTTCCGACACTATATGGTTAATTATTCATTATTAGAACTTAAGCTGAAATGATTTAGGGACGATTACGATTAAAATTGGGTTTTGACACACCTGGGTTTCTGAAAATATAAGTGACCATTTCATCAATGTAAAATGAATCCTCGGTAAAATGAATAATGCTTCATAGATATTGAGAGTAAATCTTTCACATCTTCGCGAGTTTAAGCTAGAGCTTTTCACGTCTCGGAATGAGTCATTTGATACATCAGCGCTTTCATATTTAATGTTAATTATACGTTTCCATTAAATATGAATACTGCTCTCCATAAATTCCAGAACAGCACAAAAACAAATGAAAGTCGTCGACCCGAAAGAGCTCCTATTCACCGGAGCATCTTCACGTGCTTGTGTATGCACAGAATGAACCACTCAATTCCAAAGAACGAATTAAACGAATATTTCCGGTCACTTACAAGTGGTAAAAAAATGCAACCAACTGTCTCGATTACACCGAGCGGAACATCCTTTTCTTCAATCTTTTTATTTCAATTAACACGCTAAATTTTTACGTGTACGCCGTGTCCGTTTCATCCCGCGTAGCGCATCAAGAGCATCGCCGCCACGAAGCACTCCTAATTAGCTTAATTAGCGCTTTCACATCGCCTTCAAATGCTAATGGAAATTATGCCGGCGTTCGTCGTAACGTTACGCGGCAAAAAACGCGCGTTCAGCAAAGAGAAAAAGAAGGCGGAGGTGGAGGAAGGGAGAGAAAGAAGTGGGGAAGAAGCGGCGCGGAAAAAGGCCGCAAATTCTTTTTCAGGTCAAAGGATTTCTTTTCACGTCATCTGCCGCGAGAGCTCAACAGCCGACTGAAAATAAAAATGACCTCGCGGAAAAGTCCTCCTCGGTTTTTCTTCGTGGCCGACCCCGGCTTTTCTGCCCTGGCCACTTCATTTTCTTTTCGCGGCCACACGCGTGCCTCTTGATTCCGGTTAATTCGACCCGTCCGCGATTCACGCGCGAATTACGTACTCGCCAACGACGAAAATTATTTCCCTTTTCAGACGGCTCGCAAAAGCACCCGACTTAATTAGCCCTCTGACGAAACAGGAACAAACGCGGAGCATGCATGCTTAAGCCACCAGAATCGGCCAGCAGTTTGCATGAATGGAGAATGTGATTTCACGCTGGTCACTCACCGATCTCCAGGTACTTCTGATGCACCGGGTCGTATTGATCCCATGTCACACTACGGAAACGGCTTTTCTCCCGGCTGGCAGGCAGCAGCGTGTCGTTTCGACCGTGGTGATCGATCACGTTCGGGTTCCTGGAAGGAAAACGTAAATCCTTGTTTAGATATCGATCGGGAAGAGGAGATCGAGTTTTGAACGATACTGATAGAGATATAGGGCTTCCTAGATATATCGCTGATAGCGCTTTGGTTCCACAAATTCTCCTACTTTGACTCTTTACTCATCATTTTCGCTTTCGTAAATTTTATAGTACCTTTTTTAACCAATACATAACAGTTACATAAAAAAATTGTTCGAAGAAAGCATGCTATGTTGACCAGGAGATTGGTCTTAAGTAGTATGAGTCAGCTTGGTCAGACATCGACATGAAGATTCATACTTCATTACCAATAAAAATAGGTTCTACAATAAATAATAACCTATGTATAATGCATACAAATATTACATAGAAAAATTGTAAAAAGATAACAATGTTATGCGGTGACTAGGAGATTGGTCTTTAGTAGTATGAGTCAGTGCTTGGTTAGAAATAGACACAAAATTTCAGACCTCATTAATAATAATAATAATAGGTACTTATAATAAATAATAACTAACGTATAATGCATATAAATATTATATAGAAAAATTGCTAAATAGTAACATTGTTATGCAACGACCAAGAGATTGGTCTTAAGTAGTATGAGTCAGCGCTTGGTCAGCCATCATGCTATTTTAGCATCAATCAAACTTCCGACTCCGATAACAATAAAAGCTAGTCCTACAGTCAATATACATCTTATTTAACTTTAAATTTTCGAGTTTTCATTTCGAGATATCTATGCTTCCAAAAATATAGGAACAGTATAATTATTTTTATCAACCTTGCATTAATGTTGCATTCCTTCAAGAAGGGAAATAAAGCATTCAGCAGTGGACGCCATTAATTCCTTCCACCAAGAAATAGTTTCCAGAAGAAAAGTACGCACCGAAGGAGCGAATTAACGCAACAAGTAGCGAATCGGAAAGGAATTAAGCGATGAACAACGAAGCGAGCTTTGTTCGAGCGTTTCCAGTCGAGCCACGAAGCAGCTGAAAGAAGACGGGCACAGAATCCCGAATGAAGGGGGTCGAATTCGAGACACGGTCTCGCCATAATTCACTATCGAGAACTTTGGTTGTCCGCGGCTCGTGCATACAGGCCGATGTTCTATGGCGACCGTCCGCTACGACATCTACCCCGTCTCTCTCTCGATTACATTGTCCTGCTCTCCAGGAAGTAATACACAGCCGAGACAGTGTTTACGGTGCTCGTACACGTTCCCTTGTGTCCTTTGAACAACGAGAAACCTCCTTTATCGTCCGACTGCTTTGTCGAAACGTGGTCGGATTTTTATGGTGACCGAATTTCAGGGTTTGCTGCTTGAAATCTATGTACCGTGGTTTCTAGTACTCTAAAGTTGGATTAAAATTTCCAACTACGGAGTTATTTTGTAACGATTCGAAAATTGAAACCTAACCTAAATTAAAATTACCTAATAATGAAGTTCTAACCCGATTAACAAACATGTACGACGAAGTTACAGCTGCGTGGCAGTTTAATTAAACCCCACAACAAAGTTCTCGTTCACGATTCAACTAATATATGCTGAATAAGTTTCGTTTATGGAGAAATCGTCAAAGGAACGCCGTGCGTTTCTCAAATTCTTTCGCCAGCAGGTGGTAACGGATCCCCGTGTCAACCGTGAAAAACAGAGACGCTCTTTTTACGAGCGAGAAAATACGCTCGATTTGCGAGGGAAAACTCGATTTCACGCCGAAAGAGGATATTAGAAGACCGACAGAGGGAAAAGTTTCGTACGCGCGGCGGAATCCGCGAAACGGCTTGTAAATGCTTTCGAACGACACGACGTGCGCGAAACGAAATGGATTTTGAGGTTTCCCCCGACGAAAGTAGGTTTACAGTCGAAAAATACGCCAACTCCGAAGCTTCTACTCGCGTGAGTAGGCAAAAGTTCTGCTCAGAGTGATAAGAAACCTTTAAGTCGGTCGCGACCGGACTTCCATGTTTTCAACTTCCATTTTCGGTATAAACGTGAAATATGCCAAATGTCATTGTGAAAAGACCAAAATTGCTTTTTAACTTTCCAATGGGGGCTATGGTGCACGAATGCGGGCTCCGTATGGACTTTTCCTATGTCCGGAAGTTCATGAATTGTGTTATAAACTCACTTTTCTTGCTACGTCAAGATTAGGTTAATGTATTTCTATAAATTTAGCAACAGATAGACTTCATAATGATGCAATATAATTACAACACGAGTAACGATCATAAAGAGCGCGAGAAATTAGGGCGCGTGGAATTAGAACACAAGGATGTATCAATGGTAAAATATCGAAGCAGAAACTGCTGGTATTTGTTGTTTAAAAAGGTTTTGTTTCGCAGAGGTACATAACCATAGAAGAATATAAGCCCGACACTGCTTGTCCCTTATTTTCAATTCCAGCACGACACGCGCCTCTTTAACCACTTGATCCACTAAATCTGAAATTCGTGACTATACATTGGCCCACTGGGAATTCCGTTCAAGACACTTCAGTCTGGAAACGGGTCAGGGACTTGGTGCTTTAAACGTGAGAAGCACAATTGGGGCGTCCGAGGATTACCATTTACCTCTTTAATTACAGAATTAAAGTGGATGGGATATTCTTCCCCCGGTGAAATCTGCGTCAACCTGCACGAGAAAATAATCCCTCGTTCTCTATCATTCGACCAACACGTCATTTTTTACTCGTGTAATCAAACCAGCGATCGTTGGTGTAATCGTGTCAAGAGATATCGCGTTAAGACGATAATTTTGCGAATTTCGGATAAAATGTGCATAAAGTTCTCCGGAAAAATTTATGTGGCGATAATCGGACCGAACTCTTATCTGTTTGCAAACTGTCGATTATTCCTACGGCATTTATTCGAAACCGCGAGATCACCACGAGGCCAATTTTCACGATTATTTGTCGCCGTCGGTCGAACGAGAAAATATTTTCCCGCTCAGAGGCTCGATTCGTCAAACTGTTTGAAAATCAAGCATCGCGAAATTTAACATTTATCCCCTGTCCGACTATAAATCTCGCGAATCGTGAATAATACGTAGCTCTGATACCATTATCGCTACGAATATTGGGATCGATGGGTATTTCTTCCTCTCTCTTTTTTTCAAACGAATACCATAGCGGTTGCTCGATTTGACGCTTCGATTAAATATTCCCTCTACCAAAAAGCACGAACATTTTCATACAGAAATCAATTTTTTTTTCCATTTGTGACAGGAAGTTATTGATCGTTTTCAAAACGTACGACGAGAGAATTTTTTATTCATCCGAGCTGTTGAAACAATACATAAATATTTTGTATTATATGGAACAAAGCTCACGATGAAGATCTTTATACAAACGCAAAGATTACAGAGTGATTGTGCTTTTATTGCAACGTCTCTCTTGCCCTTGCAAGGAAAATGAAATGTCCTGGGAGCAGTGATTGCTGACCGGAAACAACCAAGACCCGTTGGCTGAGAGAAATTACGGGAGGGAGATAACTGGACAGATTATTGGATGATGAGTTTGCTGTTCGTTCGCTCGGTGCGAAGTACAGAAGAGCCAAAAATTATGAGTTATAAACGATTTTTTCGTTGCTCTTTGGGTGTTGGAGTTTCACGCTGTAATTCGAGGCGCTGGATTGCCACGTGTTCTAACTTGACACTTTGGATTGCCACGTGCTGTCATTTGACGCGTAGTAATTCGATACATTGAATTGCCACGTGTGGTAATTCGATACGTTCTTCTTCCACGCGTAGTAATTCGATACATTGAATTGCCACGTGTGGTAATTCGATACGTTCATCTTCCACGCGTGGCAACTCGATACACTGCTCTTCCACGCGTGGTAACTCGATACGTTGCTCTTCTACGCGTGGTAACTCGATACATTGGATTGCCACGTGTTGTAATTCGATACGTTGGTATGCTACGCGGTGGATTGCAACGTCTTGTAATTCGATACGTTGCTCTTCCACGCGTGGTAACTCGATACGTTACTCTTCCACGCGTGGTAACTCGATACATTGCTCTTCTACGCGTGGTAACTCGATACGTTGCTCTTCCACGCGTGGTAACTCGATACGTTGCTCTTCCACGCGTGGTAATTCGATACATTGGATTGCCACGTGTTGTAATTCGATACGTTCCTCTTCCATGCGTGGTAACTCGACTCATCGAATTGCTATCTATAGCAATTCTACGCACTGTATTCACACTATAATTCCATACATTGAACACATCAAATTCATCCATCCCAAATAATTATACAATACTTCTACATCTTGATATTTGTGTATCAGAATCGCTCGACACTATAGAAAACAATTAAGGAACAGGCTTGGATTTTAGTGGAGCTGAATATTAAAGTTTGCTCATTAAGCCGTTGATGCATTGCCTTGTCTATCCTCCACCCCTCGAAGAACAGCGGCAGCCCTTCTCCCGATGAAAAATGTTTCAAACACGGCTGGTTTGCATTTTCGGAACAAATTTTCTGGCGTTGTCGCGTTGCGGAATTTAATTAAGCGGATATATTGATTGGACGCCCGTCGATTGTAACAAGGGCGGGAAATGTATCGTACGGTAAAAATTCATTTAATAAATGTTTCGGTATATAGATTTTCACGGTGAAAAATGGTAGAAAGTGTTGTTTGCATTGATCAGTTTTTGTAAAATAAATATAAATACGGCGGGGATAGCGATTTAACGATGGGAATATGGAACAGGATTTATGGTAATAATTATAGCAAGTTTCGTACAGTTACTTGGTGATGAAGTTTGTCGGAGATGGGAACACAGGTTTTAGGAGAATAATTATAGCTTCCTAAAGCTTGCTATAATGAATCGTTGGAAACGATACTAAAAGGAATACGTAACTTAGGAGAATTAAGTTCTACAGAAAATAATTGGTGATAAAAATGATTCGGACGAAGATGGACTGTTAGGTAGCTAGAATTCCAAGTTAGAGTATATGGTTCATACATGAGAGGTTACATCTTTTTAT